GTGGCTCTTGGCTTGTGTTTTTCTGATCTTGAATCTTCTGTGACCTCACGGGAGTCCAGCCAACAGCTGAGCTTGCTCTTGACCCGCGGCCAGAGATGCTGCTGCAGCCGTTTCCCTGCACACGAGCAAGCGGCTCTGCCACCCCACCTGGAGCCCTCCTGCCAGCCGGCCCTGCTCTTTCTGAACAAGCAGCTGCCGCAGTCTCGCTCTGCATTCCATGTCCGGAGGGAGGGAGGGAAGCCCACATTTATTGTTATCGAGAGCAGTAAAAATAAGAGGGTTGGACTTGGCATCAATGAATTCAGCCCTCTGGCATTCCACAGCCCTTGCCCGCACTTCCTCCTGTGATCCATCACACCCCGGCACTGCTTTATGGGCCCGAGAGCAAGTTGACAAGAGCACCTCTGAAGGGGATTTATGGCTGGCATATATTATGCCTAACAGGGAGCTGCAGAGGAGTGGGAGACCCTGGTAATTACTTCGTAAATATTAATGCCCTGTCCCCTGGAGAAGCGAGAGGCGGAAGGCAGGCTGTTTCTGCAGAGTCAAGCTCTGGAGGTAGCAGCAGGTGGGCCCAGCTCTCCAGCAGGAAAGCTCAGAGTGACAGTCAGGCCTCAGTGGGTGACCGGAGCCGAGCCTGTTCATTCCCCTGGCATTAGTGGGCAGTGTGCTCTGGGGACATTTGAACTGACATTCCCTCTCCTCAAAGCCTGGCTGGTCAGGCTACCTGCACCCTGAAAAATGTGGATACACATTAGGGGCACCTTGGCTTATTTTGCCCTTCCCTCCCCGCCCCCTTTTTCTCTACCAATTCTGCTCCAATTCAAGGTGACCCACTGCTTGGGTGCCCTGGCTGAAAAGCATTTTTAGTCACATAAATGATAATTTGTAAGTAGGCTGCCTTGTTCAAAGAGTAGAAGAGCCACTGCTTCTAGAAGTTTCCACCAAGCAAGGACATATTCTTGGTGTGCAGAACTGTCCAGATTCCAATGGAAGAGAATATTTGAACCTGGTGTTTCTGAGCTTGGCTGTTTCCTTGCAGACGTCTCATTACCAAACTAGGGAACATAATCAGCTCTAGCACCAGGGATTCCACTGTCCAGACTAGACTGCTGGTCCTCTGCCCCCACCTCCCCTGGTTTTTCCTGGCCCAGCAGCCTCTTTGTTTCTCGTCTGCTCCATGCCAGGATGGACCGGCTTCACATGAATAGGAAGCAAAGAATAGAAGCCCAAAAACTGCTCAATTCTGTTCCAAATGCTGATTCGGACAGACCAACATCTGCACAGGTGTGTTCATTCCAAGCAGGTGAAGGAGAAGAGAAAACCGCTTGAACTTCTCAAAGCTGGGAAATCCCCCTCTGAGCTCTCCTGCTTCCATCTGAGCAGAATCATTTGCTGGCTTGGGCAGATCATGCCCCCCCCATCTCGCAGTGACACCCCTCCCCAGCCAGCCAGAGCCGGGCCTTGCGGAGTCCAGCCTGCAGGAGGAGGTGCTGTGGGGCCTGGCCTTGCGCAGGCAAGGAAACTGGTAGCTTCCCTGGGGTCAGACCATCTTCCGGGGCATTGGGCCAGAGTGGATCCCAAGCTAAGGCAAAAGAGTTGGGCTCAGATGGAAGAAATAATGGGTGCTCCAGGAAAAGAGGTGATCCTGGAGTCCTGAGCAAAATCTGTTGAAGGGAAGAGGATTGCAGACTTGTTCGTGTGTCAAGCAGAGGCTGCTCCAGCCAGATCCCCGGATCTCCTTTTCCAGCACAGCTCAGGAGGCCAGCATTCTTGCACTGATAAACCTCCATTTGCCACCATCAGCTCTTGCACAAGTGTGTGGAAGATGTGTGCAAGAGCATACAGTATAAACTGCCATAGGCAGCTTGGTGGCTGCTTCATCCTAGCCTGTGCTGGGTTGCTTCCCCCCCCCCTTTGCTTGGCATCCTCCCTCTCTCTGCCCCTGATACCCTGCCAGGCTGGGCAGTGACTCCAGGCTGCTTTCTTCCCTTGGTGCTACCTTGCTCCAGAACCAAACTTCTGAGCCAGGAAGTGTCCCTAAGAGCACAGGGTAGAAAGCTCCCCCCTCCCAGCACTGGGATGAGCCCAGAGATTGGGGTGCATTGGGGAATGTTGTTTTGGGGAGCGGGTTATGTTGAGGATGCTGCTTTGTTTATCACGGCTGGTGTGTGAGCCACCCAGAGTTATGGCACATAGGATGGGCAGCCATACCGGTCTGAATTCATTTTAAAACAGGGACTAAGTCAGCATGAAGATTCTGGGATTTCTGCTAAAAGCGAAATGTCCCTGAAGCAGAAGGTCTCGCTGTCCCCGGTGAGAAAAGGACGATTAAAAACGTGGGCTAGTTCGTGAACCGTGGTGGACCGGCGGATTCCAGCCTGTCCTCGCCCTCCGCTGTCCCCGGCCCGGGTGCTGCTCCGAGCTAATGAGCAGGAGAGCGCCGCTCCGCCGTCGGGCTGAACGCGCGGCGGGGCTGGGCGGCCGGGCAGTCCGGAGAGGGGCTCCACATTCCCCTCGCGCGCGGCCCGGGGAGGGGAAGGGCGGCGGCGGCGGCGGCTGGGTCGCCGGAGGAAGGAGGGGCGGGGGCGGGGGCGAGGCGCGTGTCGTCAACCGGCCGGGGGAGGGCCTGCCGAGGCGCCCGCGCATAAAAGTGGCCGGGGCGAGGCGAGGCGAGCGAGGGAACCGCCGCGCCAAGGGGCCAGGGCAGCGCGGGAGCTGCTTTCTCCGGCCCAGCCGCCTCCCCCCAGCAGGCGCCCCGGCCCTCGCCGACCCCTGTCCCGCCTGGATGCGCCTGGCGCGGGGGACGTCGCGGGGCCGCGATCGGGGTCGGGCGTGAGCGGCTCGTCCCGGCCTCGGAGACCCGGCGCTCGCCGCCCGGAGGAGCCGCTGCTGGAGAGGTGGGCGCGAGACGGGAGCGCGCTTGGCGCAGTGCATCCGAGGCGGGGGGAGGCGGGGATCGGCCGCCAGATTGCCCGGGGCTTCTAGGAACGCAGGCCGGGGCCCGGGGCGGGGTAAAGCCGAGGGCCCGCTGGGCAGCGCTCTTGGCGGGACAAGGCGGTTCCGCGCGTGAGGGAGGGAGGGCAGGCGGCCACCGGCCCGGCTCTGGCATCTAGTTTCGAGGCGCACACGTGTTCTCCAGAGGAACTTTGCAGCGGGGGCGGCTCGCCGTTGGCAGGCCCGTTTCCAGGCGCGGAATTCTCCACATTCAGTACAGGCGGCCGTGGAAGTCGGCGAGGTGCGGCCGGGGCGCCGAACTCGCAGGAAAAGGCGGCTTTATCTGAAGGAACGTCAGAATAACGGAATGGGGCAACGCGTGTGTGGGAGGTGGGGAGAGCTCTGGAACAAAGGAAGCGTCCTTCCCTACCGAGGGTTTCTGGAGCGGCTGGGCGTCTATCACCAGCCCCAGAAGGAGGCCGGGCTGTGCCGGAGCCCTTTTCCCGTTCATCCCGCTTCTGTGCGCGCGCGCGCGAAGAAACTGCTTCCCAAGCCCTGTTTGGCGTCCTTTAAAGGCGGCCCTGGCCTCGGCAGGCGTGTCAACGGGCGGCTGACCCGCTTTTGGCGAGGCGCAGCGTCTTTGACCCAGAGGGAGCTGCGCGCCTGGAAATAAATGCCCCTTCCCTTTGGCGGCTCTGAACACCCCCCCCCCGCCCCTTGCCTTTTCCCTTTTGCTATTCTTCCTAGAGCCAGATTGAACACAAAGGCTGCTGTGATCCGAGTGTGTTGGGGAGGGGGCATTGGGTCATCCCGCAAGGAAGGGAATAGAGGCCAGACTAGACTGCCCCTTTGGCCATCTTTGGCTTCCAAGTGGGGCCCAGTCCAGAGGGGAAGCAAAAGGGCTCAAAGAGAATGTCTTTATGAGGGACACATCCATCCCTCCCCCCCTCCCCCAGCTTATAATTCCAGCCAGTGGTGGGATTCAGATACGTGAACAACTGGATGCCGTTTCCAGAAGTCCATTCTGGGCCTGGGAAACAAAAAATTAGCTATCGGTTCTGCCGAAGTGGTGTGAACCGGCTGAATCCCACCACTAATTCCAGCCCTTCACTTTCCTCAGAAATTCCAATCCTCTTGCCAAAAACTGAGGTTGTTTGCACATGAACAGGAAGTAAGAAACCTGTGATAGAAATGCCAAAAAGCCCTTCAGCTTTATTTCCTGCATCCTCTGATTCCTCCAGGCTCAACTGTCCAGAGCAGGAGGGGGGAGGTCAAGGGGAGCCTTGTGAACAGCAGGCGGAGGAAAGGTCCCCCCAGGGCCAAGCCCAAACCCCTGGTGCAGTTCCCTGCGCAGCTGATGGACCAACAAAGACTGCTCAGATGCACTCAGTAATTTGCTCAGAAAAATAAAGGAACTTTTGATTCATGGGTGTGAGCCAAATTTAGAGTCCAGCCATCCAGCGTCCTACTTGATGGCTGCAGGTAGGAAGGGGTTCTGCCCACCTGCCACGAGCTGCCAAGCCCCCCTCCTCCCTCCTGTCCCAGTCCTGCAGGTTCTTGTAAGGGACACGCAGCCGGCCTTTCTTCCCATTGGGTCAGCTGCATGAATCCTTCTCTGAGCCTGGTGGACTGCGAAGTCTCTCAATCAGGACTGCAGCAGTGGGGGGGGGGCAGTGCACAGCCCTTGCTGGAGGGCTTGGGCGATAACTGGGACTCTGCTGGGAGAGGAATTTCATCTCTCCAAAGAGCCTGAGCAGGATGCTGAATGGATTAAAAAGGGTCTTGTCATCAGGTTCTGCAAGCTTTCTTTGGAAATGAGGCATCTGTTTTCTTTTTATCTATATCCAAATTAAATTGACCAACAAACTCCATCCCATTAACGCTTTTTTTTTTTAAATTGAGCAAAACTCCCATGTTGGGCATTTCCATTCTCCCACCTGGCACCAGAATGGTGGGTATAGTTTTGGGCAGAGGTCAAATTGCTGCCCAACAACCTAAGCCATCACGGCTGTCAGTCCCTCCTGAGGGCAAAAGGACGGTTTGCGGGGTTCAGAGGTGTGCACATGGGGGGGGCAGCCCTGGCCCCAGGAGCACCACCCCACCTGGGCAGGGGAAGCCTAACCTTCCTGCGCTTCCATCTTTTCCAGGGGGGGCTCAGGATGGCCTTAGCAGAGGACGCCAGCGCTGCCAGACTCATGGAGGGCTCAGCTTTCCCAGAGATTGTGGAGCTGAACGTGGGTGGGCAGGTCTACCTGACCCGCCACAGCACCCTGCAGGGCATGCCCGGCTCCTTCCTCTGGGACCTCTTCAGCCAGCAGAGTGCCCAGTCCTTGGCCCGGGACAGCAAAGGCCGCTTCTTCATTGACCGGGACGGTTTTCTCTTCCGCTACATCCTGGACTACCTGAGGGACCGGCAACTGGTGCTTCCCGAGCGCTTCCCCGAGCGGAGCCGCCTGCAGCGGGAGGCTGAATTCTTCAAGCTGCCCGACCTGGCCAAGAGCCTGGCGCCCAAGATCAGCAAGCAAGACTCCCTGGGCGAGGAGCCCTGCGCCAGCGACCCTGAGGAGCTCTCCCCCGGCACAGAGGCTGTCCGCACCCTGGGGGCAGCTGGCACACTCTTGGCCAGCCTCCCTGGCAGCTCCCTGGCACCTGCAGCTGGGGTCGGCATGGGGCAGGAGGCCCGACGGTCCGGCTTCATCACCATCGGCTACCGGGGCTCTTACACTCTGGGGAGAGACAGCCAAACAGATGCCAAGTTCCGGCGGGTGGCGAGGATCATGGTATGCGGGAAGACCTCCCTGGCAAAGGAGGTCTTTGGGGAGACCCTCAACGAGAGCAGGGACCCTGATCGCCCCCCTGAGCGCTACACCTCCAGGTACTACCTCAAGTTCACATTCCTGGAGCAGGCCTTCGACCGACTGGCTGACGCCGGCTTCCACATGGTGGCCTGCAACTCCACTGGGACGTGTGCCTTTGCTCACGAACAGACGGATGACAAGATCTGGACCTCCTACACAGAGTACGTTTTCCACCGTGAATGAGGCTCGAGCCCCAGCGAAGCCAAAGCGCCAAAGCTGGTGATCCTCCATGCTCTGCTGATGGCGCTTTCATTCAATGCCCTCCAACTTTGAGTCTCTTCCCCGCCATGTTTCCAGCCTGCACCCCGGCAGCTCCTGAGGGATGCCAACTCTTCTGCCCTGCCACAACCCCCCGAATCATGGGCACGGTACTGCTGGAGGAGGAGGAAGAGGAGGACGGTGTGCCGGGGGTTGGGTGGGGTCCCTGCAGGACTGTGCAGCAATACTCTGCTGGTTCCTGCACAGCCAAGATGGGGGTGGCAGCTTCATTGTGGGCCTTGCAGTGAAGCAAATTGGGAAGGACCGTGACTGGACCCACGGGCGCTTGCCAGGCGTTCTGCTGCCAGCCCTTACCCCATCACTCCTTTGAGCAGCTGCGTCCATTGGGTGCGGGGCTTTTGATGTCAGTGAGCCAAAAGCGCTAAAACCCCTTGCCTCATATGCCCACCTGGCATGGCTAAATGCACCCATTTCCCTTGATTGAAGTGGGGGTGACTGCGACCTTGGTGCCCAGTTTGAGGAGGTGCCAGGGGTCATGGGGGCAGTGGATTCTTTGCACACCAAAAGCCCTCGCTCACTTTCTAAAGTGCCATCAAAAGTTTCTGTTAGAAATGAGAATGTGGGGAGGAGGGTGCAGGAGGCATACCCACCACCCAGCACACAAGCAGGGCATATTCACCAACCTGGGGATGCTTGGGGGGGTTAGAGTAGTGTTGTCTTGCAGAGCCCCACATATAAGAGGCCATGTTATATTTGCAGAAAGCCTTTGCTTCAGGAGAGTGTTTTGCTCCTAGCTGGAAGAAAGGCCATCTCAGGTGGGCACCGGCAGAAGCCCCAGGTGCTTAAAGGCTACCCTTGAGTGTCCTTCTCCCATGCCCACAGTTGTTTGAGTTACAGAGGTAGGAAGGGGAAGTCTACAGGTAAGCATTGTCCAAGCTGGAGATCAGCGAAGCTCTGCAGTGTGTATTTTGAGCTGGGTTGCCACTGTCGCAGGATCAGGGGCCACGCATAATAAAGGAACGAAAGAGAACTTGGCACCCGTCTCCTTCGTAACAGATCAAGGAGCCCCTGTGGGAGAGGATGCTGTTGGCAGAGGCAGCAGGTGAACCAGAGGTGTTTTGCAAGAAGAGTGCCTGTCCTCCCTCCCACTATGAAAATGCCCAAAGTATTGCCATGGCATCCTTCTCTCTGGAATGGCCCAAGCCTTAGTCTGCAGGGGTCACCAAACAGCCCTTCGCTCTCTCTCTGTCTAAGGTCAGTAGAAGGCTGGTAGCCAGAACCTCCTCATGGGTCACCCTCACTTCTGCGAGGTGAGACACCCCACCACCCACCACCACCCCATTCCGAGATCTCCCTCTCAAGCTACTTGGTGTGTAAGGAGTAAAAAGGCCCCAGGATTGGAAAGCCTGGGAGTTGGGGACCAGGACAGGTAGAGGACAGGAGGGAAGACCGCGAGGGACCCTCTGCTAATGAGGCAGCTACAAGGGGACATTCACGCAACATGCTCACACCAATCACAGAGTTAATGCACTTTCAGAGTTCATCCTACAATGAAGAATACATAAAATCCAGCTTTGTTTTGCAAAAATCCCAAACCATGAAAAACAAGCCAATCCCACCAGGCCTCCCTCAGTTTGGTCCTCCCAAGGTTTTTGCTCTTTTTCCAAATGCGGGAACAATGAAGATGGGAGGGGGTGGCCCTTTCTTGAGCCCATGGTTGGCCAAAGGGGATGGACGAGACCTGTCCTGAACTCTCTGGCCTAAATGTTCATAGATGGACCCTCTGCAAGTGCTCTTTTCTGAATTCTGTCATCCTGACACCCTAGGGTTAGGGTTAGGTCACCATGAACTCATACGGCAAAATGGACATCGCCAACAAACTCGGAGTGCTTGGGTATGGTTAGGAAGGCACTGACTTTTCTAGCCTGCCCTATGTTTCCTGGTAAAATTCATGGGAAAATCCCATTGGAGGAAAATTCCACTTAGGGTTAGGTCACCATGAACTCATACGGCAAAATGGACATCGCCAACAAGCTCGGAGTGCTTGGGTATGGTTAGGAAGGCACTGACTTTTCTAGCCTGCCCTATCTATGTTTCCTGGTAAAATTCATGGGAAAATCCCATTGGAGGAAAATTCCACTTAGGGTTAGGGTTAGGTCACCATGAACTCATACGGCAAAATGGACATCGCCAACAAACTCGGAGTGCTTGGGTATGGTTAGGAAGGCACTGA